CCTATAAAAGGGTGATTATACCGATGAATAAGACATACACTTTTCTGCTTCTCTTCCTTGTTCTCTTTACAGCATATTTTACATATTTGGTTGATTGATGGATGCTTGATGAATATTGAGGACTCCAATTTACAACAAAAATGAAGTTTAAGAGGTTTTGTTGTTAAAGATTATCTTATATAAAGGATTCCTATGCTTTATTGTGAGATAGTGGATTTTGAATAAAATATGAATTGATATCGTATTTAGGTGTTCTTGAAATTGTGATCTCATTAATATCGTCTCATTCGTACGCTTTTTTACATCAGTTAGTATCAGAAGTCGGCACGAATAGACGAATGGACGGGCGTGACGCCACTATTGAGCATCTGGATCGACAAGCCACGGGCTTTGGCCGCCAGATTAATAAATTGTATCGTCTAGTTGAGGGTCTTTCAAGAGAAATCAAAAAAGTGATTCTTACAATCAACAACATAGTTGAAGATTTCCTGACGAACCGTGACTCCGACAACTGGGGCGTGCGCATCGGAGTTCGCAGAACGTGAAGGTCGTGGTTAGGCAGAGCGCCTCGTCGGAGATCTCCACAACCACCATCCGACGACGAAGACGGCGAGGAGACAATCTAAGAGGTGAATCCCTTCGGCGATTATTCACCCCGCACGTTACCCATTCGCTGCATACGACGGCCGTGACATGCGACGACGGGGCCCGATCTTCGTGGACGACGACAATCAATGCAACGACAGAGGAAGGAGCGAGGAGGCTGCCTTCATCGGTGGATATCGTGCCTGACGCAATTGGGGACTTGAACGTGATGGTGCCGGCTTCGCAGGGTACGGCCGGCAATGACGCTGTTGGGACATCGGGTGCAACACCACATACTTTGATGATGAACAATAGCTATTGGATTAGAACCTAGAGCACGACGTCTTCGCTGGAGATTGGCAGTAGCGAAGCGATGAACTATATCCCACAGACGTCACCGATGAGTCGCGATGGAATTTGGTGCCTTTTTTGGGCCTGTCAAGGAGCCGAAGACTTTAAGCCTACACAAAGGGAATTTGATCTTGAATATGGTTAATGAGAGGGCCCATTTCGCGTTGACATCCCTGAATTTGACGGAGAACAAGTTGACATGTCATTGTACGACAGTCTACCCATTTTCTATGATGAGCCTCCAGTGACGGAAACATATATTTGAGGCGATATATATAGGCCCCTGGTGGAACATCGCAGATGATGAACCTTGGAATAGGCAACCGTTAGTCGGACCCTATTTTCGGAGTTTCTTGGCCATCGATGGTTTGTTGGCA